TGACAAACCCCGCGAGCCAGGCCGCAAGCGCACCGCGGGGGAGCATTCATCGGAGCAGTACTCCCAAACTTTGCCGCGCACGGAAACATCAGACAGAGAAGCGGGGCGAAGTTGAAGACGCACTGTGCCGGGAACGCCCCGAACGTCTTGGGTGCCGAATCCAGGCGTTGTGGTTCGCGAGGGTGGCTTTGGCCAGACCTTCGATGCCAGCCAACGCGTTGGCGGAGTTTTTTGCCGGGATTGTGCCGCAGTGGAAACGCAGCAAATGTCCCAAGCGCGGGTTTCCCACGCGTCGGATGCGATGGCCGAGGCGATGAAACCATGAACCGAGAGCAGGTCGTCGTTGCGCTGGCCGCGGCCAAGTCCAAGGACCCAGCTGGCGATTCATGCGCAGTGTATCTCCGCCATCCACGACGAAGCCCCCATGCGGCTGAAATCGGACGCAGTGGAAACGGACCCGAAGCACGACATCGGGGCAGCGGTTTCCCGCGGCAGAAGCTCGAAGATGCAGGGCCACGCCATGAATCTGATAATTGAAGGTCGCCGGACGGATATCTTCACTGAGATCCAACCCTTGCTGCGGAAGGACGGCCCAACAATAGCCGCGTCGATCATTCAGACGGCAGAGACCGCAATTCGCGTTTTTTTGGAGGGGCCGGCGAAGAACCCCCATAAGTTCAAGCGCCTCCGCCTGTTGCACATTTTGGTCGGCGATTCCATCGCGACAAACGCGAGCGCCGCTAGGCGGGCGCTGCAGTATAGCAAAACTCGGGCGAGCGCCCTGGGAATGATGCATGCTCGCCGGTTTTGTGTGTTCTCACCAGGCCAACCTTGTCGCGCAGGTTGCGATATGCGGGCGGATTGTTCGCAACGCGATCCATGCAAACATTTTGCGCGCGACGTGCAGCCGCATCTATAAGTACCTTATGCCCCGTTACACGGTCGAGTTCGCGTTCAATTTAAGGAGGCACATCGTCGACCATTTTCTTTTTGGAACAGCGACGACGGCCGCGACTTGGCAGCCGCCCGAAACAGGGCTTTGCGGCTGCAGGAACTTTACGGCGGGAAGGTTCCCCCAGCGGAGTTTGTAGTTTTTTTTTTTTTTTTTTTTTTTTTTTTTTTTTTTTTTTTTTGATCTTGGGCATCGACGCGTTTGCCCAGCATGGCCCTCGCGACATGGACTCGAAGGCAGTTGTGTCGGAGGCTCATCCGCATCTCGTAAAGCACGTCTTTCGCGTGGAGGACAAACCGATTGTCGCGCGATTTTTCACATTCGCGCACTGCGTGTTCGGTCTGCTGCGTTTAAAGATACTGAACCTGCCAGCCGTTATTCTCCTTACGGGGGCTCGGGTGCCGCGGTGCCAGAACCAGAAGCGGCTCAAAGTTGTGCATGATTCTTTGGGAAGTGCCCAGAGTTCAGATTGGTCTCTGACTGACTGAAGAAGTTGGATGGGCCGGGAACTGAAGAAGATTGGTCTCTGACTGCGATTGTCGTGGTTTGCCGTCAGTATCACGGCGCAGACGAGGAACGTCGAAGGACGGCCGCCGGTCCTCGTGCGCTTGAGCCAGGGCCAGGTGCAGAAGGCGACTGCGAAGGAGTTGGAAACCGGCTCCAGGTGGGCGCGGGCGGGGGAAACAACGCTAGGCCAGAGCGGCCCGCCGTTGGGGTTACGATTTTTTGTTTGTTTGTTTTTTTTTTATATCCCCCCATTTGTTGGGGGCGGGCGGGCGCGGCGGGGTGGGCCGACGGCGGGGCGCGCGGAAGGTGGGGCGGCAGTGGGGCGGTGGGTCGGTTTTCGAGATTAGGGTTTAGGGTTGGTTTGGGGTTTAGAATTTAGGGTTGGCTTGGCCTGGCGTTCCCGCAGGCGCTCGATGCGGACCCCGAGCTCGATGTCGCCGATTGCGCGTCGGCGTTGTTGACCGCGCAGGGGCACGTCAACATACGCATCGCAAAGTACCAGAAGTTCCCGGCGCGTCTCTGGGCCCTTTGCCGAGCCCACAACCTTCGTACGCACGCGATCGCCATGAGGGGTTTATTGGAGTGCGACGAGGGTGAGCTCGATGCGGGGCAGTCGTTCGGCCTCCGTGCCGAGGCTTTGGCGCAGGGCTCGCCCGCCGACGCCGTGGCGTTAATGAGATCGGCCGAAGTACAGTCCGAGATCCTGGGCTTGGCGGAGGAGGCCAGCGCCAACGGCATGGCGGGGGAGCGGCGACGCAAATAGTCTAAGCAGGCTGAAGCCACAAAGATGAAAACGGCCGTGCGGGCTTCCCGAACCGCCATCTTCCAGAGGTGCCGCGCGCAGAGAGAGAGCGCCGCTTCGCAGCCGCCCTGGAGCAGGGCAAGAATGACAACCAGGACAAGTACATGTGTTTCACTGCCCTTTGCGGTGATGGAGCACCACCCCCCCCTTCCCCGCGCCGCGGGGTTTCTCGCGAAAGACAAGGCTGTGTCAGCGAAGGGCGCAAGGGCGCGCGGGCGCTTGCCCTCCCAGGAGACCCCGTCAAACTCCGGGAGTACGTCGACTTGCATAGAGACAGCCTCGAGAGAGAAACCCGAGCCACACGAAAAGCTGCTGAGAAACAGTTGCTTGCAGGCCCTATGCCGCGCACGAGCGCCGAGTGGCTGCAGTGGATGGAGGAGCACGAGGAGGGGCGGCGAAATTGCATTCGCGAGGCCCCGTCCAAACGGAAGAATTTCTCAAACAAGTTGACGCCATTGACGGAGCCCCCCCCCCCCCGGCGTCGCAAGCGCAGCCGGCGGAGCGCCGAGATCCTTTCCCGAAGTGGGTCTCCAAGCTTTTCGCTTGCAAGCAGGGCTTCTTCTTCCTGCGCTTCGGGGCCGAGGAGATGGCGGCTTTCGCGGCCCCCCTGCACGGCCAGTGGTGGGCGTTTCGGTTGGAGAGGGCTGGCGGGGAAGTCGTTCTGCTGAGCGCCAAGCAAGTGGCGGGCGATTTCATGCCCTTCGAGGTGGCCGTAGTCAAATGGCGGCGCCGGCTGCAGGCCGACGTCGGCGTTTTCCAGCTGGAGGTCGCGCGCGAGGGCGCCGCTCCCAGCAAGAAAAACGCTCCCGCTCGAGGTTTCTTCCTTTTTTTCCTCAGGACGGTGCGGTTCCTCGCCGCCGACAGCCCCCGTCCCGACAAAAGCACGGCTCCCGCTCGAGATTTTCTCCTTTTTTACTAAGGGTTGGTGCTCCTGCTCGCCGCTGAAAGCCGCCGTCCCAACAAAACCAGCGCTTCCGCTCGAGACTTCCTTCCGTTTTGCCTTGGACTGGCGCGCTACTCTTTCTCTTATCGGCGCCGCCCCCAGCAACAACAACGCTCCCGCTCGGGACTTCTTCCCTTTCTTACTCAAGGCGGTGTTCCCCCTGGCCGCCGAAAACCACCGCCCCGACAAAACCAGCGCTCCCGCCCGAGACGTCCTCCCGTTTTACGCTGGACTGGCGCCATACTCTCTTTCGAATTGGCGCCGCTCCCAGCAAGAAAAACGCTCCCGCTCGAGGTTTCCTCTTTTTTTTCTCAGGACGGTGCTGTTCCTCGCCGCCGACAGCTCCCGTCCCGACAAGACCACGGCTCCCGCTCGAGACATTTCCCCTTCTTACTCAAGGCGGTGTTCCTCCTCGCCGCCGACAACAGCCGTCCCAACAAAACCAGCGTTCCCCCTCGAGACTTCGTTTTGTTTTGCGTTGGACTAGCGCCCTATTCTCTTCAGCATTGGCGCCGCTCCCAGCAACCACAGCGGCCATGCTTGAGACTTCCTTCCTTTGTATTCAGGGCCAGGTCCTTGCCTCACCGCCAACAGCCCCCATCCCCACCAAGGCAATCCTGTCGCTCGATAATTCTTTGTGCTTGACCCGTGGGTTGGGCTCCACTGGCGGTCTCGCATCGGCGCAACAAGGCGCGGGCATTCGTTTTCGAGGTGGGATATGTTGAAATTCCTCGGAGGAGGTGTTTGCAAAACCTCCTTGGGCGAGAGATTTGGGAATGGGAATAACGGACCCCGCCATAGAACAAGAGTCCCCCATGATGGGGTTGTATCTCATGATGGCAGCATGCTTCGTGTGGAAACATCGCGCGTGAGGGCAACATGATCGTTATTGTTGTTATTGTTGTTGTTGTTGATGTTATTGCTGATATTGTTGTTACTGGTCGTTTCCACTCGCGACCCAGCCCGCGACCCACGAGCGATCTCCCGCCACCCACCCGCGACCCACCCGCGACCCACCCCGCGACCCACCCCGCGCCCCACCCGTGACCCACCCGCGACTACCCGCGACCTATTCGCGACCCATCCGCGACCCACCCGCGAAAAACCCGCATTGTTTTGACAAACAAATCGACGACTGCGGCGGGTTCGTTGTGTAGTTTGTAAGAATGAGGCGCTTGCGGCAGGCTTTTTCGAAGTCTCGCAGACTGCCGACGTGCCCGCCGCCCCCTTGCTCTTCTCCGCAAGTGCAGGGTGCTACGTATATGTGTGTATTCATATGTACATGGTCAGAACGATAGAGGGAGAAAGAGAGAAAGAGAGAGAGAGAGAGACAGAAAGAGAGAGAAGGAGAGAAAAGAGAGAGAGAGATAACACAAACACAACGAATATGTGTACACATTTTCATATCTCCATACACTCACACATGCATAAGCGCACACGGAGATAGCGGATATATATCTCTCTCTCTATATATATATATATATCGATTCAGCTGCGGTGCCAAACTAACTACCTGTACTTACGGGGCCCCTCTCCTGGCGGCCCTTCGAGCACGTGCTCGGGGTGTCATTTGGTTTTTCGACATCGAGGGACAGTCTCCTTGCGATGGCAAGGCCCGTTGATGCTAATCGTATGTTGTAAAGGGGCCCCTTCCTGTGAGTCCCGGGGTTCTCCAGGGGCAAGAGGTCTTTCGGGAGCCCCGTGGAGCACGTCACGAAGCTGATCGCTTTACCGTATGGAGCGTGGATCGCTGTGATTGGGTATTGCAAGGGTCTCGGGATATTTGTGGCCAGCAGGGACCGGACACACCTCACAACCATGACAGGGGCTGGCGCACGCTTGTCGCGCCGTGGCCACGGTGGCGGTTCCCGACCGTGTTCTTTGGCTTTAGCTTCGGGGCCGTGCTGGCGTACGAGGTCGCCGCGCTCTGCTCGGGGCGGGGCGACCCGCCGCTGGGTCTCGTCGTCGCTTCCGCTGAGCACCCTGCTTGGCCTGGCCGGTCCGCGGGCTCTGGGCCCAGCGGCGGCGCCACCAAGGATCTCGATGGCGCCGCGTTCGAGCGCGTGCTGCGCGAGAAGGGCGGCACGGATGTCATCCTGAGCAACCCAGACATGAAGAAGATGTATGTGCCGGTCATCCGCGCCGATATGGTCATGGAGGAGGCTTACGGAGCCGCGCCCCCGCAGCATGAGCCGCTGGGGTGCCCGGTGATGGCCTTCCGCGGCGAGTGGTGCCCCCAGGTCAGCCGCGAGGACACGGACCCGTGGCTGTGGCTCACGGCTTGCTGGGGCGAAGGTCTGCCCACGTGGGTGGAGGAGCTGACCTCCGGGCTAAGCCCCACCGACTCGGCGCCATGGTTGTCGGACTGGTATCTGTGCCAGGGGGAGGGCTCCGCCAAGGCCATGGCGCACAGGATCGCCGAGGTGTTTGGCGGTAAGAGTTGACGCGCGCCCGTGCGCCCGACCCGGGGGTGCAGTTATCTATCTGCGCTGCCGCGCACATGCATGGGCGGAGGCGGCGTGACTGAGGAGGGCTCGCGGCCCTACACCGTGGTTCTCGCTGTCGGTTTCGTGTGTTGCTCCTTGAACGCCCACAGCAAATCGGCCTGGAGCGAAAGGCGTGGACGCGTCTTAGCCGCAATGCGGTCAGGGCGGCTGCATTTTTGCGTGAGAAGGGGCACCTGAAGACGAGATGCCCCCCACATCCGCCGCGGCTCAGCGACATGGCGGATCCTGCTATACAAGTGGCACGTGTGCGCCCAGGCTCATACAAACACATGTGCAGGATGTGTGTGTGTGATGTGGTGTGTAAAGTGTGTGCTATATGTGTTGCAAGCTGTGTGCGTGTGTCGTGGGTGATGACACCGTGATGTTCGTGAGCTATGTGTGAGTTTTGTGTTGCCATGAGTTATGCGTTGTGTAAGCGTTATGTGTGTGTTCTGTGTGCGGTGTTTGCATTGCTTGTGTATTACGTGTGGTGTGTGTGATTTATGTGCGTGTGTTGTGTGCGCGTGTGCATGCGTTTTGTGTGTGTGTGTCCTGCGTGTTGTAGTTGTCGTGTGTATTATGTGTGTGCTGTGTATGCGTGTTCTGGGCGGTATGCGATTGTCTATTGGTGTGGTCGTGTGTGTGTGCGTGTGTGTTCTGTCTGTGTTCTCTGTTCGTTGTACGTCGGGGCTCGGTGTTGGGCGGATGTCTCAGGCGAAACTGTCTTGTTTTAGAGTCGCGTGGAAAAGGGGTTCGATGATAGGACGAATTCGCAGGCGCATTGAAATGCTCGAATAATCGTGCTATCATTGAACACCTTTGTGTTTTGTGGGAATGTTACGGTGATTGACTGGGGTTGTGTTTTTGGACCCTGACGTCACGATCTGCGTGCGGGGTGCGTCTGGTTTTCAGAATGCTAAGGCAGTCCCAGGCGAAACGGCCAACAAAAAGAAACACGGCGTCACAACTAATCGCCTCTGAGTTCTATTCCCTCGAAGCGGCGCGTATGATAATACATCTCTACACGCTCGACCTCCCACCTCTTCGCTCTGTCTACTCGTCCCACCCCCCCTCTCTCCCCGTTGGCAAATTGACCCCCCCAGACCCCCTCATCCCCCACCCTCACTGCACAAACCTTCTCCCCCCCTCAGTCCTCAACTTTGCCTCTCATCGTCTTCATCGCCCGCCCTTGTCCTCGTCTCCTCCTGCCTTCCCTGCAACCCCGCGCGGCTTCAGAGAAGGGCCGCTTGAGACAACGGCCCTCTTGGAACGGGGGTGGGGGAGAGAAGGGTGGACGAAATTGTCGGACGGAGAAGGAGGAGGAGGAGGAAGAGGAGGAGGAGGAGGACGAGGAGGAGGAGGAGGAGGAGGGCCGCCTATTTCTCAACTGGCCCTCCGCCAGTTTCCGACCGGATAAAAGACACAAAGTAGGATGGCGCGGCCGCGAGAGGACTCCAGCGCGGCCTTTTTTATTTTCCGCCGGAGCCGAGGCTCCAGGAGAGCTCGGCCGCCCCGGCGATTTCCTCCGCCCACGGACCCAGCAGAAGGCAGCGTTTCCGGCGGGGGGGGGGCGGGGGGGGGGGGCGCAGCCCGCGAGTCAGTCGCGGCGTGCTGCCGGGGCTGCCGCGAGTCTCCCTCTTCTAGGTTCGTTCCAAAAAATCCCTCCAGGATAATGTTTTTGGATCCTGGAGGAAGGGCTCCTTTCAAAAAGCCCTCTAGGAGGATTTTTGTTTTGCATCCTGGAGGAAGGGTTCGTTCCCAAAACACCCTCCAGGATGGTTTGTTTGGATCCTGGAGGAAGGGTTCGTTCAAAAGAAACCTCCAGAAGGGGCTGTATGGATCTGGGAGGAAGGGTTCATTTCCTCCATTTCTCGCAGGGTCTCGGAGCATGCACCACGTCGTGCCTGGCCAGCCGAAGAGCCAAGGAGTCCGGCGAAGGTCAGCCACCCGCAGAGGGGGGCAGGGGGAGAGGGAAAGGCTTCTTAGAAGCACCCTGCCTCTCAGAAGGCGCAGGCCCTGTCTATAGATGTTAGGTCGACGGTGCCTTCCAAGAAACAGCCTCCTTCCACGAAGCCTTCCCCCCTCCCCCTACCCCCTGGTGCGCGCCGCCAGGACGGCATTCGGTGTACAGGCGCTCCAGCGTCCCACAGGTTGGTCATCTGTGGCGTCTAGGCAGTGAGCTCCTTGGCCCCAATTGATGTGATGTATACATCGAGTCCATCCCACCCCTACTGGTTGCACTCGCCATTCCCTAAATTCAGTTTCAGCCCCGCCGCCCGAGAGTCGACGTGGGAGTGGCCGGGCCTCAGTGGACCAGCGGGTCGCCATGACGTTCTCGAGGCCTCTTCTGGGGCTCACAGCAGCACAGTCAGGTCTCGAGGCTCAGCGAAGTTGCCCCCGTTGGGAGACAACACCAGCTCAGGAATCGCTCTCTCTCTCTCTCCCGCCCTCCCGCCCACCATCTCTCCCGCCCTCTCCCTGCCCCCCCCCCTTCGCGCGCAGTCACGCCCGCGCCCTCGGGGGCGGGGGGCGGAGGACCGAGTGCCCTGTACAATCCCGTGCCCTCGCTCGGAGGCCTCTGGAGCTCGCCTGAGGTCCCCAGGGGTCTCCTGAGTCTTCGGGCGAAAGCGTCCGGAAACCATAGCCCTCATTGCTCGAAGGAGTACCCCTTCGACCCCCCTTCTCCCCAATCCGCAATCTCCCTCCTTCCTCCTCCGCCATCCTCCTCCCTCCTCCACCTCTCCTCTTCCTCCCTCCTCCTCCTCCCTCGAGCTCCTCCTCCGCCCTCATCATCCACGCTCTCCCAGTGTGGATACTGCCGTTCCCTCCCCCTGGACACCTTGTGTGCTGGCCGCCGCCGCTCCCGCATATGGACTTTACCCACATGGTGGCATTCGCGTGTTATGTATATCAGAGTGAGGGGGGCTGAACGGAACGGTCGTTCGCTGTCCCTTGGTGCGTGGCTGAAGTGGAATTCCGCGATGCCGAATCTTCTTGTTGTTGTTTGTTATTTGTTGTTGTCGTCGTCCCACCCGCGACCCACCCTGCGACCCACCCGCGATCCACCCCGCGACCCACCCGCGACCCACCCCGCGACCCACCCGCGACCCACCTGCGACGCGACCCACCCCGCGAGCCACCCCGCGACCCACCCGCGACCTACCCGCGACCCACCCCGCGACCCGCCCGCGACCCACCCCGAGACCCCCCTGGCGACCCACCCGCGACCCACCGCGACCCACCCGCGCGACCCACCCCGCGACCCACCCGCCACCCACCCGCGACCCACCCGCGACCCACCGCGACCCACCCGCGACCCACCCGCGACCCATACCACGACCCACCCAAAATTTTCGGCGCTTGCGGCGGGTTCCTTTTGCATTCGTTCCAGGTCGTTCGAGGTGGAGAACCTGCGACCCACCCGCGACCCAAATCGCGTTCAGTGTACAAATCAAAATGTTCGGCGCCTGCGGCGGGCTTCTTTTGCATTCGTTCCCGGCTTCTTTTGCATTCGTGAGGGCCACGAGGTCCGCCTGCTCGACGCCCGCGTCGCCAGTGCCCGCCCCCTGATCACTCTTATCCGCAAATGCGGGGTTGGATAAGAGTGAGGGGGCGGGCACTGGCGACGCGGGCGTCGAGCCGGCGGACCTCGTGGCCCTCACGAATGCAAAATAAGCCGGGAACGAATGCAAAAGAAGCCCGCCGCAGGCGCCGAAAATTTTGGGTGGGTCGCGGGGTAGGTCGCGGGTGGGTCGCGGGTGGGTCGCGGGGTGGGTCGCGGGTGGGTCGCGGGTGGGTCGCGGGTGTGTCGCGGGTGGGTCGCGGGGTGGGTCGCGGGCGGGTCTCGGGGTGTGAACGTAGTTTGGGTCGCGGGTGGGTCGCGGGGCTCTCCACCTCCACCTGGAAGGAATTCAAAAACAGCCCGCCGCAGGCGCCGAACATCTTGATTTGTACACTGAACGCGATTTGGGTCGCGGGTGGGGCGCAGGTTCTCCACCTCGAACGACCTGGAACGAATGCAAAAGAAACCCGCCGCAGGCGCCGAAAATTTTAGGTGGGTCGCGGTGTGGGTCGCGGGTGAGTCGCGGGTGGGTCGCGGGTGGGTCGCGGGTGGGTCGCGGGTGGGTCGCGGGGTGGGTCGCGCGGGTGGGTCGCGGGTGGATCGCCGGTGGGTCGCGGGTGGGTCGCCGGGGGGGTCTCGGGGTGGGTCGCGGGCGGGTCGCGGGGTGGGTCGCGGGTGGGTCGCGGGTGGGTCGCGGGGTGGGTCGCGGGGTGGGTCGCAGGTGGGTCGCGGGGTGGGTCGCAGGTGGGTCATGGGTGGGTGGCGGGGTGGGTCGCGGATGGGTCGCGGGGCGGGTCGCGGGTGGGACGACGACAACAACAAACACCAAACAACAACAACCAGAATCCGCATCGCGGAATTCCACTTCAGCCACGCACCCAGGGACAGTGAAAGACCGTTCGGTTCAGCCCCCTCACTCTGATCATGCGTGTATGAGTATAAGTTGTTGTGTGGCCCCTCCTCCTCTTACGCCTTCCGTTTCCTCGTCCACCTCTCTCTCTCATTCTATATGAGGATACGACGTGTATTCTCGAAATGCTCGAAGACGGAGGTGTCGCGGCTCACGAGAGAAGCTGCTGGAACCCCAGGCTTCCGAATGACCGTGTATTTGCTTGTTTCCTGGTGTCCGCTTCCTGCCTTTCCAACGTGGTGTGCCCGTTGCAGCGGTGCTCCCTTTGCAAGATCGGCGCTCGACCCCGTCGTTCAGACTGGCACTCTCTCGCCCCCGCGCGGGCCACCCTTATGCATCCGATTCCTTCCTCGTCGTCGTCGCCCCCCTTCTCTGCCCCCTCCTCTGCCTTCTCCTGACCGTCCTGCTTCGCCCGTTCCTCCTACTCGTGCTCGGGCGGCAGATGCTCCCCCTCCTCGTCCTCCTCTTTCCTCGTCCTCCTCTTTGTCCTCCTGCCAGCTCCTCCTCCAGTTATACAGCTTCCCTTTCTGATTGCGTATCACACGGTGGGGTCACTTTGGATATCCAGGTCCGCTAGGACGCCCGTCGGCGGATAATTAGAGCAAACCCAGCGCAACGGGAGGCATGGGTGGGAGGGTTCGGATGTCAGACATGGCGCGCCTGCGCGCACCTAGCTTGTCTCCCTCCTCCTCCTCCTCCCTCCTCTCCCTCCTCCGCCTCCTCCCTTCCTCCCTCAACCTCCTCGTTGCCAGGGCTTGCTCGGCTCCATCTCATGTTCTGCCGATGCTGTCGCCTCCCCCCCCCCTCGTTCCACCCCTCCTTTCCCCCCCCTTCTTCATCATCATCCCCCCCCCTTCCCTCTCCATCCCCGGATAGCCGACGTTGCGAATAAAAACACAACGTCGCAACAAAAACACTACCAGAGCCCTGGACCCATCCTCCCGCTGCATTGTCAAGCCGGAACGATCTGTGATCGCCCTGGGGCCCGAGGCCGGGCGAAAACGCTTGGCGCGAAGAAGGCGCACCGCCCGTATCTCAGGGCCCCTCCCTCGCCTCGTCCCCTCCCTCCGCCCCTTCCTCCGCCCGACCTTGTTTCGTGCTCACTCCCACACATGCACGTGTGGCTCCCTGGCAGACTTTGACGCCCGTAGCCGAACACCCTTTGCTGTCCCAGAATAGTCTGCTTAGTTGCAGCGCCGCCAGTTGCTGACAGTTGCTCGGCTTCATAAGCCTCTGCAGGCCTCCCAGATGGGGTCCGCGTAGATGGGGTCGGGGGATCGCGCCGCACCGCCGATGCATCCCCAGTTGGACACACCCTTCGAAGCCCGAAGGGAGCAGCCCATAACTCCATCGGGGGGGGGGGGTGAATCGGCCAACGGGGCCAAGGCCACGCCCATCGGGATAGAGGTCGGTTAAACTATCCTACAGTAGGGGCCCGACCACAACAAACCTTCCACAAGAAACCCAACCCTGAGACCCCGGGACGTCGATTGATTTTTGGTGTGGGAGCGTCACGCTCTCCATAGCAAAACCACCGGAACCCAAGAAACCCAGGGCGCCTTGGAGGCAAGCAGGGCGTTTCTCTTGGCACGGGCCTCCACTGCAGGCTGTGCAGTCCGTTCGAGCCCCCGTGCTTCGGACCCTCTCCGCGGGCCGAGGACCACGGCCCCCGCGCTCGCCCAGCGGACCGCGAGCGGGAGTCCGTGGAGGAGCTCTGCGGCGCCTCGCGCCGGCGGGGCGCGCTCGGCGCCTGGCGGAGCCCCGCGCCGCCGCCGCCGCTCCCGAGCCTTGTCGACGCCTCGAGGAAATCCCCAGATCCAGGCGCTGCATCTTGGTTTGACCCCGGGCGATTTTGCCCAGTTTCGGGCCCCTGGACCCTCACGGGTCGATCCCAGATCCAGGCCTTGGATTTGTTCGGACCACGGGCGTTGTTGCCCAGTTTTGGGGCCCGGGACTCGATCCGGCTTGAAAAATGATGCAGAGAGATGGGGTCCCAAACTCCCGTGGTGTTGTTAGTCGGTGCTGTTTCCTCCTGCACTGTCACACCTGAGGGAAGGCCACAGTGAGAGGAGGAGGAGGTGCCGATGCCGCCGCGATCCCCTCCTCGTCGGTTCTGTGGGGGCCTCGGGGGAAGTCCTCGTCGCCACGGCTGGGCTCGCCCCGGCATTCTGGTCGGAGCGCCGGCCCGGGGCCTCCGACGCCTCGAGCAACAGCAAGAGCGGCGGGGCTCCGCCGGCTTCGGCCTCCGACGCCCCGCGCGGACACGAGGTCGGCTGTCTTCCGCGGCGCCGTCTAGCAGTACTTGGCTCGGCATCGCTCGGGCGTGTGCACTTTATCGCAGCGAGGGCCGTCGCGGAGCATGTTGGGCCATCCTGCGAAGAGCACGCACGCACGAAGCCGAGCAAAAGACACGGGGAGTGGACTTCCGAGCGATGGTGAGTGGACCACTGCACCGAGATGAGAGTTGCGGCACGTTGACCATCGGTTGTCCGCGTCCTCACGACCTTCCCCCCCTCCCTTCCTCCCGAAGATGCGCTAGAAAACAAATTCGAAGGTCTTCCGCCGTTTCCGGCCTCCGACGCCTCGATTAGGAGCAAGGCCAGCAGTCTTCCGCCGTACTCGGCCTCCGGCGCATCGAACAAAGACAATGGCGAAGGTCTTCGCCGTTTTCGGCTTTCGGGGACCGTTCTCGGGGCCCACCGGGGTAACGTTACGCGGGGATCGGCTCAGAGGGGGGTGTATCGACCCCGATTGCACATATCGATAGCCGATACGGAGGGGCTGGATAGCCCCTTTCTGCCCTGGAGCCTTTGCCCTGGGGGTCTTGGAGAGGAGCTGGCGTGGCCCTGCCTGCCAGCTTCTTATCTAACATTTCCTTAGCTCTCCAATGGGCTATCCGGGAAGCAAGGAGTATCAAGGCGCCCAAGCTCACCCTGGGAGCTACGTCAAGGGAGGCCACACTCGTGGGGTCCATAACCCGACTAGCTGGGTGCCTGAGGGGGATTCGTTATCGATGGCCTATCGCCGATTTATCGGCGGTGCCAATTCAAGCTGACACTTCTCCCCCTGAGCTGGTCCCTCCCCGCCCAATGATGCCCCTCAAGCAAGAGCGGCGGCTGCCTGGCGTTCCGCCCTTCTCTGCCCCCGCGGCCGTTTCCTGGCTCCGGGGACATCAGGAAACGGCTCGGGCTCTGGGGACATCAGGGGAAGGCTCGGGACGAAAAGTTGGCCGCTGCAAGAGCTCCAGGGAAGAAGCACGAGGACCATGACCAAGATGTCACGCCAGCTGGTCGACGCTGCTCTTGGTCATTCGGGGGTGGACAGAGCCCCCACCCTGACACGTCGATTAGTGAATTGTTCGCTTTCGGTTCTCGAGAGGGCGCCTCGGCCGTCAACTTCCAGGCTTACGCCCGCCAGGTTTGGGCCCGAGGTCGTTTCCACTAAACCACGGTTTACTAAAGGGGGGCGTGTCCATCCCCGAGTCATGATCCATACTGACCTTCGCCGATTCGCGAATTGACGATGACCAAGAGTGGCGACGACCAGGAGCGACACCGACGCTTCCGCGTTCAATCTTGGTCATGGTCCTCGTTTGCTTGCCGTGTTCGGCCTCCAGTGGCCGTTCGTGGGTGTTGGGGGTCGTCAGAGAACAGCTCGGGGTGAAAAGCCGTGCCCAGGGAGAGGATCGGGACCTCCGCGGGGCCCATGTTTCAGAGTCCAGGCTTACGTCGCCCCAGGCAGGCAAACCGTTGACCCGGCGGGGGAAATTCGAAGTGTGGGAAAAGTGTGACTTCAAGAAAAACGGAAGTACGAGTGTGAATTTCCCCAAAAAAGTTTGGAGAACGTTTGAAAACAAGCACGGGGGGAAATGGACGTGCGAAGCAAGTATGAAAACAGTGTGAAAGTGCAGGTGGGTTTGATGCATGCAACATGTATGGCAGCAGCGGGAAGACGCATGCACGGCGTAGGCAAATCATGGCGCATGCGAACAACGCGTGGACCTCAGGGGCCGCGCCTGTAGTTGTTTCATACGATCTGGCTATAGTTTGGTTCGAGTTTTCTTTTATTTCCAGTTCACAGTTGTTGTTTTGCTGATCTTCTTTTCGCAACTCTGAAACACAAGGCGGAACGAAGACAACGCGAGGGGAAACCGACATCATCGCGAACACGGAAAACACCGTTGTCGTTTTGTCGGCCAGGAGGGTGAGTGGTCCTTAGGAACAACCGTGGTTCTTACAAAGCGCGGGCCTGGTGTGTAGATGCCAGCCAGCCCTTTCCAAGAAGCAGCGTCAGCCCCCCCCTGTTCCAACTCTCTTGCGCGCCCCGCGCGCTCGCTGGTCTCCCGAAGGGGGCCTGGTCGACCGGGCGGCGCGCTTTCCGACCCATGACTAGCCCCGCACCCCGACCCAAATCCAACATGAGTTTGTGATGTCTGGTGTTAAATGAAATTTATGCTGCGCCTCATGCTCCTCTTCCTCCTCCTCATCACGCTCCTTCTCCTTGTCAGTGCTCGTCTGTCCTCCCTCACTTCTTCTGTGGCGCTCATGCGTCTCAGGGCTGATTTGTGTTGCCCCTCTCTGTGCTCCAGGCCTTTGCGCGCAGCTCTCTGACGACTGTCGATTGGACTGGCGCCGCTTATCGACCCTGCGCTGCCGTCGTTCTGGTATCATTTTCGAGAGGAGGAGGAGGACGAAGGGGAGGGGGAGAGCGAGGAGGAGGAGGAACAGGAGGAGGAGGAAGAAGAGGAGGTGGAGGAGGAGGACGAGGAGGAGGAGGAGGAGGAGGAGGAGGGGGAGGAAGATGAGGAGGAGGAGGAGGAAGAGGAGGAGGTGGCCAGCGCTACTGGGACTGGGGCCAGCGCCACTGGGAATGTGACTGGGTCCCAGCGCTGCTGGGACTGGGGCCAGCGCTACTGGGACTTGGGACTGGGACTAGGACCATCGCCATTGTGACTGGGACCAGCGCTTCTGGGACTGGGACCAACGCTACTGGGACTGGGGCCAGCGCTATTGGGACAAGGACCAGCGCGACTGGGACTGAGACTGGGTCCAGCGCTACTTGGACTGGGTTCAGCGCCGCCAGGACTGGGACCAGCGCTACTGAGACTGGGGCCAGCGCGACTGGGACTGGGGTTGGGGCCAGCGCTACTGGGACTGGGGCCAGCGCTATTGGGAACGGGACCAGCGCTACTGGGACTTGGGCCAGCGCTACTGGGATTGGCACCAGCGCCGCTTGGATGTGGACTGCGGCCAGCGCTGGGACTGGGGCCAGCGCTGCTGGCACTGCGATTGGCATCCCCTTTGGACCCCGGGAAGTCGCGTCGGCGCTGGCGCGGCCCTGCCGCGTGCATTCTTTGGAGCGCGCCGCGCCCGCGTTGCACTTCGCGTCGGCGCGGCCCAGTTTCCTCGCGCGCGTTGTGGCGGCCGCGCTCGGCGCCCAAGCCTCGTCGTCGCGGCCGCGCGCCCGTTGTAGATCGCGTCGGCGCGGCCGCGCGCGCGGCGTCAATCGATCGGGCTGGCGCGGGCCATGTCTGCCGTTGGCGCTCGTGCGCGGCCGCGCTCGACGCGTGCGTCTAGTCGGCGCTGGCGCGGTTCTGCCGCGCGCCGCGGATCGCGCCGCCGCCCCCGTCTTGCCGGCCGCGTCGGCGCGGGCAAGTTCGCCCGCGCGCGTCGCGGCGGCCGCGCCCTTGTCTGCCAGTTGCGCCGGCGCGGCTGCGCGCGCGTTGGAAAAACGCGCCTGGGCGGCCGCGCTGGTTTCGTGCGTCGCGTTGGCCTGGGCGCGCCTGTCGCGGGACCTCGTCGCCGCAGGCGAGTTGCGATGCGCGCGGCCGCGCGCCCGGGCCCCGCGCGCGCGCTGCGCTCGCGCCGCCGCGCGCGGCGGCGCAGGCCACGTTCATCGCGTGCGCGCCTGCTGGCCCGTGGCCCTTGTTTGGGGCCAGTTTGTAAATTGCGCCGGCGCGGCCGCGCGCGCGTCGTAAATCGCGCCGGCGCGTTCGCCTCCGCTGGGTCGCCGCTTGGGCCAGGGGCGCCCGCGGGGTCCGGGGCTAGAACAGGGGCAAGGGCCAGGGCCAAGGCCGGGGCTAGGGCGCGGCCAGGGGCGGCCAGGGCAAGGGCAAATCGCCGTGCGCCCGCGGGCGATGCCGGGCGCAGTTTCTTCCAAATTTTTCGCCATTTCCAAATCGGGATAATTTTCTACGTTTCAAACTTTTCTATACTGTTGTTCCAAATTGTTCTATGGTTGACAAACTTTCTCAATGCTTGTTTTTCTAACTGTTCCTATTCTTTTCTGAAAACTACCAAGTCGGGGCACATTTGTTTCAGACGTTCGTTCCCCCCAAACTTCCTAGTCGGGGCGAATATTTTCAATTTCTTCAAATTTCCCAACTGGGGCAACCTTTCTGTTTCAAGCTGTCATTCGAACTTTTTTTCAAACTTAAGCATCGGGGCGCAGTTCTTGCATTTTTCCAAACTTGTTGCAACTTTTCGTTCGAACATCCAGGTCGGGGCGCACTGTTTTCAATGTGTTCATACTTGATTTCAATGTTTGCCAGAAGTCCAAAGCGGGGCGCATTGTCTTAAACAGTTCCTTATGTTATGAAGAATGTGAAAGGGTTTCGAACTTCACCCGGCTTTTTTTATGTTGAGAATTCATAAACAACAACTTATTTTCTTTGTTTCAGAGCGTGCCCGACCTGTTCATGCGTTTCGAATTGTTTGCACATGGGGGGCAAACTTGTTGTTCATTTTCGTATTT